TGTGAGTGGCTGGCGCACGGTGCAGGGTGTCCCCCGCCTACTGCCCGAAGACAGCTGGGATAGGCTCCAGCAACCCCCGCGACCCTTGTGACGATAATACTGGATGATAATAAGCGGATCGGAAAATGGATGGATGGATGGAAAAAATGTGCAATAATATAGCAACTTTTTGTGTTGTCATAATAGTCTCTTCACAGAAATATTTAAGATTTACTTGGTCGTGTAATTTTACAGGTGAGGCACTCAAGAGACCCAAATTTTTACAAAACCTATTTTTTCCCCCGCATAATCTGTTCCCTTTCAGACCTAATACAATACTATATTTAAACAGGGCCAAAGCACATGAAGAGAGAAGAGTTGGAGACCAATGGAGAAGAAGCCACCAAGTACAGAAAGGAACCATCGCCGTGTCCCATCTGCGGCAAGGCGAGCTCTCTACCTGCTAGTGTAGCAACTCGTACAGGATCCCAGGAGTTGACCGTTTATTCTCAAATGTATGAACAGGTGTTCTCCTGCCGAAGTAACATGAACAAACATCTGCTCACTCACGGCGATAAGAAGTACACTTGCGAGATCTGCGGCCGCAAGTTCTTCCGAGTGGACGTGCTGCGCGATCATATTCATGTTCACTTCAAGGTCAGCCATCGATCGCTTGCCCATTTGCAGCCTCTTTTTTAATTCTTTTGAATTAAAGTGACAGTGGTTGTTTATTTAGATTATGAAGATTAGGATTCTTTCCATAGACTGTGCAATCACCATCCTATTTTTTTTTTTTTTTTTAATGTGGCTTTTCTCTTTCTTAAAATTGCTACTGGAACTAGAAAATGACTCAATTGGGCACAATAATAACACTGCTAAATATGTCCTTCAGACTTATTCAGTTAAAAAAAAAAAAAAAAATCACAGCGCAAGGCCGTACATCTTCACACAAGCCCAGTTGGAGAACTCCATCTACTCAACTTTTTCCCCGCACTGCCGTTCACAAAGCCCAAATATAAATGGACTGTAAAAATGACACTTTACATTCAATTCTTAAATTTACACCTGTATTGGGATTCTCAACAATTGAATGTGTTCTTCATATTATGTCAATTGGTTGTGTAGATTTTGCTTAATCCTGCTTGAAAAAAAAATAGAAAGGCTCAAACTAGCCAACAAAACCTGACTCTTGTGCTTGTACTAAACTACAAAGACGAACTTTAGCACATCAAAACTTAATAAGAACTCTAAAACATGCATACACTATATAAAGAAAAGCAATTGATTAATCAGCCATAACAGCATACAGTATTTTAGCTCTTAGCATAACTCGAAAAATCTCTCGCCAAATTAAATTGTTGTTGAAACAGTAAATTAACAGTAATTAAAATGACAATATTAGTAAAGTAATTAAATTACCACGACTGCATGCTGAGATGTTTTTTTTTCTCCAAATGCTTGATTCTCAGTTTCTATTTACCCGAAACAAACAAAAAAATGAAATGAATTTATTTGTTGCAGGATATAGCCTTAATGGATGAGCAGGAGAGGGAGGACTTCATTAAAAAGATCGGCATTTCAGCAGGCGACAGCGACGATAAGGACGATGAAGAAGATGAAGATGACCCCGAGCACCACAAATACAACTGCAAGAAATGTCAGGTTAGCCCAACCCCCGGTTGGCCAAACGTTATCACGCTATCAATGTGGTCCCACATGAATTCAGACGGGCCCTTTGCTCGGGTCCACAGATGTCGTTTGCCAAGGGCCGAGAATACCTAAAACACATCACAGAGCAGCACAAAGAGCGCGGCTACGGCTGCGCGATCTGCAACCGTCGCTTTGCACTCAAGGCCACGTACAACGCCCACCTGGTCATTCACAGAGAGCAGCTGCCTGACCCTGCCGTGCAGAAGTAAGGAGCGTATTGACAAATACTTTCTGTTCGTTTCCATGTTATTGTGTGGGTTTTCATCTGGTTTCCTCAAAGAGGTTAGGTTCATTGACAGTGATATGTCACCGAAACATTGTCTATTTTCATGTGCTTTAATCTCTCCCTCTTCCAAAGGTATATCCATCCCTGTGAAATTTGTGGCCGAATCTTCAACAGTATCGGTAACCTGGAGAGGCACAAAATCATCCACACTGGTGAGATCATGCAAATATATCGCAGTACAGTGTTTGATTTTTTAAGGTATGCAGTGCACTCATCTTTTTACAAGTATTAAATGCACGGCGTGGCGAGGAAACATCTGATTTAATCTAAACGTGAGCGGCTGTAAAAGGTTTGCACATCCCACAGGGGTGAAGAGCCACAGCTGTGACAAGTGTGGCAAATCCTTTGCGAGGAAGGACATGCTGAAGGAGCACCTGAGGGTCCACGACGACATTCGAGACTTCCTTTGTGCCGAGTGTGGGAAAGGTCAGCTCCTATTGTGTGCATGAGCATCTGTTACTTGGATTGTTTCGACGTGATGGAACCTACCGCGTGCCCTGTGCAGGTATGAAGACCAAGCATGCCCTCCGGCACCACATGAAGTTACACAAGGGCATCAAAGAGTACGAATGTAAGGAGTGTAACCGCAAGTTTGCCCAGAAAGTCAACATGCTCAAACACTATAAGCGACATACGGGTGAGTTATGGTTTGAATTTGCGATGTGAAAATGATCGATGTATTGCATCATGTTTTGCTTGTGCATGTCTGTGTCTATAGGTATAAAGGACTTCATGTGTGAGCTATGCGGCAAGACATTCAGTGAAAGAACAACTCTGGAGACGCACAAGCTCATTCATACAGGCAAGCATCCTATTTACCGGTAATATCAATTTTGGTTGGTGCTCATATGCCTCACTCCGTTGCACATGACAAATAAAATCAACGTGGATTGGCTTTTCCGGTCGTAGGCCTAGTTGTCACGAAGTACTTGCCCGAAATTGCTGCCTGCTGCTTCAATGTTGCTGTCGGGCTCTTGGCAGTCTCCCTGACCTGTTTTCTTCTTGTCTTTTCATAGATTTTTGAGGGTCGTCCATTTCTTGGTAATGTCACTGTCGTGCCGTATTTTCTCCACTTGATGATAATTGTCCTTAACGGTGTATTCCGTAAACTGGTGTCTATAGACATGATATTTTCCAAGGCACTTTAAACGGTGGCAGGTGTGTGCTGACTCCCATGCAACACGAGGTTGAATGTGATTGGTTTCTCAAGGTATTGAGTCACAGGCAAAGTGATTGTTAATCCTGTACACAATAATCTGCATGTACTGACTAATATTTATTTTGTCTATAAATGTAATATTGTTTGTGTAAACTTCTAGTGTGCAAAATTGTTTGTCACATCACTTTGCGCTATCATCTTTTTTAAAGTTGTATGCAAGCGAACACTATTGATGGGCCTCACATGAAAGTGATTTGTCTGTTTTGAGTAGTAGAGCGACTAAACACAAATTTTTATTTACCATAGCGTCAGAATTATACATTATACAACAGACTAGACTAGCATGGTGTTTATAGTGCGTCATTGTCCACTCTGTTTTGAGAGCTTTGCTGCTATCTTGTGTCATCTGGAGGCCATTACAACTTCTTTTGGGGCTGGGAAGACCATCAGTCATTCACAGATTATTTTAGTGTTTTTCAACACACGGTTGGGTTTTGTAATGAGCTAATTAGCTTTGAAGAACAATGAAGAAAAAAAAATCACTGTATATTGAGTAGCTACAGTATTCTTGATTAACCCTCGTGGCGTGCAAAATACTTTATTCTTGAACAAATGCCAATGTGCATAAAATGCACTTAATACACGAGAGGCGTATTTTTGTCGCTGAAAAAAAAATTTTTTCCTCCAACCACTCAAAATGTTCGGTGGCCTCAGAACTTCTTTTTTACATATAGTTTTCATTTATTTATTTATCCCCCCCGCTTTTAGGACAGTACAAGTCCAAAAAGTGATTATAAAAGACAACTAAATGAACTGTATATCTAGATACAGAAAAACTTTGAGGTGAATATTTTATATGGCCTAATTAGAGCTTTGAGTTAGTCATAGTGGTGACAAAATCATTTTCAATTCATGCCAATTTTTTTGATAAAAGCAGTTTATTCAAAAACTCACACAACGCATGTCAATGTACATTATGTGTATGTGAACTTGAAGTGCAATAACTCAGTCATTTAGGAATATATTTTTACTTCCAACCACTCAAAATGTTCAGTGGCATCAGACCTATCCATACATATATAGTTTTCCGTTTATTTATCCCTCCCCCCACCCTTTAGGACAATACAAATGATAAAAGTGACTATAAAAAAAATTAAATTAACTGTATATATATATATATACATATAATTTCTAGGTGAATATTTAAATGCATTAATTAGAGCTTTGAATTAGTCAAAAAGTGGTGAAAAATATTTTTTCAATTCATGCCAATTTTTTTTACAAAAGCACTTTCCCCACTGGGCGGTCAACGGCGCCTGTCGAATCCGCCCACGACGCGCTTCGGCCGTGTTGCCCGGACGAAGGTCCCGCCCTTTCCGAGGCCCCCCTCTTCCCGCCGGAGGTCGGCATTTTTTTTTTTTTCTCAAAATCCTCCTACGGGCGGTCGACTCCACTTATAAAGCCTGTCGCACAAGCACTGAAAAGGCAGATCACGCTGCCAATTTTTTTTACAAAATCAGTTTCCCCACTGGGCGGTCAACGGCACTTGTCGAGCCCGCCCAGGAAGCGCTTTTCGACCGCGTTTCACTACGAAAAGCCGGCCTCTTCGAGCTGGACCTCCGCACTTTTTTTTTTTTCAGGCAGCAAATCGGGCGAAACCTCGGCCTCTTAATACAAGGTTCTCTCTTCACCTCGGCGGTTT